GTATGTAAACAGGATGAATAACCTGATAAGAAAATGGGTGAGGGGGAAAAAAAAAAATAATTGAAAACCTTGAGCCAGTGACTGATCTCATTGGTCGAGTATATTTCTTAAACTAAGATGATGTAAAACAGCGTTTGTGGGATAGAAATGTGAAGACTGGAGGAAACGGCATCTCTAGCTGATGCCTTTGAGCAGACCCTGGCCTCTCTGGAAAGTAAACCACACAAAGGCGTTTGAACCTGGGGGAAGGGAGGTTCCCGTTTTACTCCTGGGAGAAAGGAGGGTGGCTGGGAGGTGGGGCACTCACCGCCCTAGAGCCAGTCGTCTAATTCCCATCCCCAACCTACTGTAGGAGCAGAAGAGCCTAAACGGTGCCATCGCTGCAATGCCCCTGATCACCCGAGGAATAAATGCCCCGTGCAGGAAGGAATCTTACTACTGCTGTTCTCAGCACAGAAGCCTCTGAAACTTGTATTGCTTTTTGTAGGATTGGACTCCACAGAGCCAGACCTGGAGCAAAATCAAGCTTGTCAAAATGAATGGCAGGGACTCCTTAGGATGGGAAGATAAAGGTGCAGGGATCTCAGTGGTTCAGCAGAGTGTAGTTCAAGAAGGTGACATATTGCCAGGACAAAGCACAGAGCTTTTATTAGTAGGGGATGTAATGATGCTGCCTTTGGTGGGACACTTTGAGGGGACCAGTTCAGGACAAATTGCTTAGAGCAGGGTAGTTACAGACCAAGGCTGGGGTTTCTCCACTTCTAAGGCATCAAACCAGACAGGACTTATGGGTACCCAGTGGGGTAAAAACAGTCACAAGCAATTCCCTCTAGACACTCCAGTTTCCTAGTATCACCACCAGCGCCACTCATTATGTGGACAAATGAGTATGAAAACCAATATCCCAGTGTAAAAAAAAAAAAAAAAAAAAAAAAGAGGGAAAAGGTTCTTGATCCCAAAGGCCCAAGCCTCAGACCCAGATCAATATACAAATCAGATCTTACCCACAAATCACGCTGTTACCAATCCTTTAGAATTGGAAATCTAAAGGTTTATTCATAAAAGGAAAAAAGAGAGATGAGAGCTAGAATTGGTTAAATGGAATCAATGACATACAGTAACAGCAAAGTTCTTGGTTCAGGCCTGTAGCAGGGATGGAATAAACTTCTGGTTCAAATCAAGTCTCTGGAGAACATCCCCAGCTGGGATGGGTCATTCAGTCCTTTGTTCAGAGCTTCAGTCTGTTCCTCCAGAGGTAAGATGGAGGGAGCTGCAGCAGCCTTTTATAGTCTCTTGCCATGTGGCCCCTGCTCTTTGTCCAAAGGACAGGCTATCCAGCACAGACTGGAAAAACCTCAGAGTTCTGTCCATAGGCAGGTCCCTGCATGCCTTGCTGAGTCCCAAGGTATATCTGCCTTCTCTCAACGGGTCAGTTGTGTAGCTGATGGTCCTTAATGGGCCATCCAGCAGGCTAGACAGAGCTGACACCAACATGTCTGGGGTGTCCCCCAGAAGCACAGCACAAGTTTGAACTACAGACAGTCTAGAGCCAATACTTACACTTTTAAATACAAAAGTGATACATGCACCCAGATAGCATAATCATAACCAGCAAATCATAACCTTGTCATAACACTGGTCCTGACACTTGTGGAAAATAACTGTCTAAGTCAAGATGCAGATCACACCCCTGTAATAGCCAAGAAGTTGAGTCCAGGAGGCTTCCAGGAAGCAGTTGTCTGTAAGCATGCAAATAACCCAGCTGGCAGAGTGGAAGGGGACTTCCCCCAGGCTGGTAAGACACAGAACCCTGCTGAGGGAGAGCTGCTGGGAACAGAAGCATCCAGTGAAAGAGCAAGCACTCTTAACGCAGAGACCACAACCCTCTAGGAAAAAGGGGCAGGAAAGGACCCAGTGCTGGGAGTGGGGAACACAGGGTAACCTCAAGAGAGGAGATGGAGTGTTTGCATATGTGCAGTCCTGGCACTGGGAGACAGCTCCACAAAGTGCCAGCCAATATGTAGGATCCCCTTATCTCACCAGACCCTGAGGTACCAGAATCCCAGAGACAGGATTAGATTAAGAACCCAAACAGAAGGGTACACTGTAGTGAAAGGAAAGCCAATACATTACATGCAAAGGTTCAAGAAGAAGGAAAAGACAATGGGTATTGACCTGTAGCAAAGCAAAGCCTCACCAGTGCAGCACCTCCTGCTCTTTTCCAACATACAGAACGTCCTCTGCAGGCCGGGCTCTCTCCTGCCACTGGCCCCATGTCCCTCCCAGACCCTGGTAACCTTTTACCTCAGGCTTCTGCCCCACGGTACCCCCACTCTCTGGGTCTCCCCTCCCAGGGGAACCCCCAACCCTCTAAACCCACCTTGCCTCAGTGGCTACTGCCAGTCATCATCTAGCCACCACCCACAGGGGCAGACTGCAGTCTAATGGCCACTCATCCCTGACAGTGGGGTAGGACCTGCTGCCTTTGCCTATCCCTGGGCTGCCCCAGCACCTTTTGTAGGCCTTCAACCAGGCTAGAGCTCCCCAGCTCTGCTCTGCTCTGCTTCAGGGACCTTCCTCTTAGGCAGCTAGCCCTTCTCCCTCCAGGGCTGGAGAAAGACTCTTCCAGTTTCTAGCCCACAGCCCTCTTACCAGGGCCAGCGGGGCCCTAACTGAGCTGGCCACAGCTCTGGCTGCTTCCCCAATCAGCCTAGCTTGACTGCTTTTAACCCCTGCCTATCGGAGTGGGGCAGCTGCCCCACTACATGACCAAACCAACCTCAAAACCAAACTGCCTGAACAGAAGGTGTGGTATGATAAAGATACTTGTAAAATGCCAACCTGTTATAAAAAAATGGTATTAATATTAAACCTTGTGATAAGACACATTATGTACAATTTTTGGAAAAAGTCTTTGGACATGCTGTGAAGGTAACTCGGAACACATGTAATGTCAAGGAGCCTTATGGTAATGCTGCTTCTCAGCTATCACCTGTAAACGGACTTAAAGCTTGTCAAAACAGAGAAATGATAATAAACGTGGTGTGCTGTGTGGAAGGAGAAACTGAGGCACACCATCTCATTGCTTTGATGGCTGGATGTCAAGATACCTACATACTGGAAAACATTAATATCTACACTGAGTTTATACAAGTTGGGAGAGCAGAAGTGTTAACAGGAATGCAGAGGTACAAAGAGATGGTTTCTAAGTACCCAGATAAAACACACTTTTTAACTTATAAGTGTGATGGGATCTCCAGAGTACAATCTGGAACTGTGGAATCACTGTGCCCCCTTAACTGGGCTGTCACTCATAATGTTTTGCCAGTGACAAGCAGCAAAACCCTCCAGGCGCTGTGATCACTCAGCCACCAGCATGAAGAGACAGCTGGCAGAGCTGGCATGTGGGCGGAGGCAGCAAGTGCAGCTAGGTGCTGGAGAGGTGAGTTCCTGTTGCTCTTCCGGGGAGCCCCCCTGCAGGTAAGCACTACCCCCACCAACCCCCAGTCCTGAGTCCTCTCACACCCAAACTCCTGCTGCTGGGGGTTTGGGGGGCCCTAGACTGTCCCAGCAGCAGCCGGTGCACCTGGCTCAGGGGCTGCCCAAGCTGCTCTGTTGGCTCCCGGGCCAGGCACATGGGCCGCTGCAGAAGTCATGGAAAGTCACGAAATCCGTGACCTTCATGACAAACACAGAGCCTTAATCATGAGACACGCAATATGACTAGGGAGCCCAGCCTATAGAGAAGCATGTGCTATGCAGGAGGTCAGACCAGATGATCACAATGGTCTTTTCTGGCCTTGGAATCCATGAATCTATGAGAACAACTCCCATGAGGCATTGTGGCAGCATGTCCAAATAAAACTATTTTTGTTCAATTTTTTTATGGAAAAGTCGATTTTTGTCAGGCAAGTCGAGTTCCCTCCCCTCCCTGGCCTCGATCATATGGAGGCAGCTGCATGTCAGGGAATGCACAGCAAAGAGGACATGTGAATCAACGGAAAGCAAGGTCAGGCTCCAGGCTGGGAGGTCCCAGGCCAGTCCCCAATGGCACAGAAAAGGGGAAGCCAAGTGCAAGGCACAGAGTCTGTGCTGGGAATGACAGGGAGGCGGTCCAGATGCTGAAGAGTTTCACTTCCTCCCCGAGTCCCAGCTGCACATTGTAGTGGCATGTGAGAGGGAGAGAGGGGGAGGGAGTGCACAACAGACACAGGATGAGTTACTCCACCTCTGGCATAGGTTGGCTCCAAGGGGTCAGGTTTGCCACTGCTTCCAGATCTTACCACCCTGATGAAGACCATCATCCATGCAAGGGGGAAGGAGTATCCTCGGCCCAGCACTTGGTGGCAGTAAAAAGGTGGGGAACTTTGTTCCTGAGTTTGGAGGGCTTTATGCCCCTAAATCATGGGGTTCTTTCTATGAGCTCTAGGGCAGGAGGGAGACACTTTACTCCGAGGGCACCACACCATCTGAGCAGCGACTCCATGGGGCTCTCCAGAGCACCCATCCTAAACCTTCTCCCTATCACAGCCCTAGCACAACCTAGCCATCTCGTCTGATGAGGGGAGGGTTCAAAAACCCTTGTCAGTCCTGCCCTAGGAATTCCAGGATTCACGAGCTGTACCATGACCTGAAAGCCGCTGGCACCCTGGAAGCCCACATCCTTCCTGGAACTCTGGTCCATGGCTTGCATTATTACGCTGAGGCCCAGCTGCTCTCAAGTTCCCTGACTGCCTGCCACTGCAAGCTAGGCATGGGCCAAAGGGACCTAGGAGTCCTGGCCCAGTGATGAGGGGAAGCAGCAGATTGTGTGTTCCCCTGACAGCTCACAGAGCAGCGAGGTTACAGAACAGGCCTGGAGCCACATGGTGCCTCAGCAGACCCGGAGAGAAACAAGAGCAGCTCTGACAGGAGTTTCCATCTCCAAGGAGGAAGCTCTTGCACCACATGCAATTTCTGTGTGTCTGGCTGTTTCCTTTCTTCGCTGGTCTCTGCCACGCTGAGCTCACACGGGAGCTGAGCAGAGAGGCAGAGCGCCTGGGGCTGAGTTCTGCCCTGGGGCTGTCTTGGAACATGGCCCTGCAGGTGTCTGCTCTGGCCCTTCTCCTGGCCCTTCCTCCACTGCTGTCTGCCCAGGGAGCAGGACTGCCCAGTTCCAGCCGCCCCAAGACTCCAGGTAGGACCCGACTCAGGCTTTGCTGCTCCCCTGGCTGCAAGTGGCTGCTGGGCTTTGCCCTGTCAGTCTTGCTGCAGTTGTCCCAGGAGGGGGCTGCCCTCTGCGTCCATGCCAGAGCCTGAGGGGCTCAGCGCCAAGCACCGCTCAGAGAGCTGGGGTGAAAGGCAGCTGAGGGTGATGCTGGGGCAGGAAACCATGTTCCCCTGGGGGGGCCCCAAGTGAGAGCTGTAGCTGTGTGCCCCTCAGGGAAGCAGGTCCCCCCCTGGGAGCAGCAGACAGGTCAGCGTCTGTCTCTGGACTGGGGATAAGAAGCCCGGGGAAGTGGCCTTCACGCTACCCTACAAATAGTATCACCAGTTCCCTGCGGGGCAGGTGTGAGTCCCACGCGTGGGTGGAGGAGAACCTGTGGGGTTCTGTTTCTTTTCCGGGAACAACTCTGGTACCAGGAGCAGGAGTCCAGCCAGCCACCCTGAGCTCCCTGCTCCCTCTGAGCCATGCAGACCCTCCTGGAGCCCCCAGCACAGTGGGCTCATTCCTGTAACGAGTTCATTGCATTCTCAGTGCCCACTGGAGGGGGGGGGGTGTACCTGGTATGAGTGATGGGACCATGCAGCAGGGATTCGTTTCCATAGCAGATGCACGTTGACACCGGCGCTGTACTGTGGGGCTGGCAGCTTTCTGTACGGAGCGCCTGGGAGTGCCCCAGTAAGCACCCCTCTCTGCCGGGGGAGCCTGAACTATGAGTCATTGTCTGTGGTGGAAAATGTGGTACAGAAGTGTCTTGCCATAACAATTCCCCTGCATCACATGGCCTACAATACGCATCTCTGTTCACAGTGGGGACCCACCCCTTCTGCCAAGGTGCAACTTTCATCTTCCCCTCAGCAGGGCAGAGTGACTGCAGGCATGAACCCGGGCGAGAGGAAGATGTGCAGGGAGCATGGCTTGTGTCCTGCATTGTTTTGCCAGCCCAGTCATTGGTCAGTGGAAACATGGCTCTGAGAGGGTGTTTGGGTTTGAGCAGAGTGGGACTGCCTCAACCTGTTCCTTAGTTGAGTTTGTTTCCATGAAAAAAGAACAGGAGGACTTGTGGCACCTTAGAGACTAACCAATTTATTAGAGCATGAGCTTTCGTGGGCTACAGCTCACTTCATCGGATGCATAGGATGGAACATACAGTCAGAAGATATAGATATATACATACAGAGAAGGGGGAAGTTGCCATACAAACTGTAAGAGGCTAATTAGTTAAGATGAGCTGTTATCAGCAGGAGAAAAAAACTTTTGTCTCGATCATCAAGCTGGCCCATTTAGACAGCGGACAAGAAGGTGGGAGGATACTGAACCTGGGGAGATACATTCAATATGTGGAATGATCCAGGCACTCCCATGGCGGCTGTAGCACCCTGCCCTGCAGCTCAACGCCTTTTGGCAGGATCTTTCTTAAATCAGTTGTTTCTTGAAATGGATCTGTCTGGGAAGAGCTGACAAGCTCGGTAAATTAGGAGCAGTTTGCATCGAGGTCACCGCTAGCAGAGCTGGCTCTGGGCTGGGCCCGTTTAAAAGCGCTGGTGCTCTAAGGGCCCTGCAGGTTGGCTCAGGAGAATGGAGATGGGCCCGTGACCCGCAGGCTGCTGGCTTTCATTCGGCCAAAGAGGAGGCACAGTCCTGACCTGATGGCTGTCTTGGGCTGCTGTGAAACGAGCTGGTGTGTCTCAGTCTGGTTCCGAGCGGACAGGTGTCCACACGACAGCACCCAGCAGGGAGCCCAACTGGCTGCGCCATGGAGGCTCAGCTCCCCTCCCGCGATGTAGCTTCCGCTAGCTCAGGGCAGGCCAGGCAGCGTTCGGGGAAGCTGGCGCTGCCTGGGCTGACGTTGCCCCGAGGAGAAACAGAGGCTTCCTGTCCCTGGGGCTTCAGGCTGGCAGTGCTATATTGAGTAAAACCACTTGCGCAGCCTGTGAGATGGCTCCCAGCCGGGGACTTGGTACCCATGGTGGCACCGACTCCCTCAGAGAGGGCAGCAGATTCACGCCAGTGAGCGGGCCAGGAGCCTGAGGGAGCTGGGCAGGTCCCATCCCAGCACCCCAGCAGTCAGGACCATCTCCCTTTGAGTGTGTCATGAGGGGCTGCTGGCGTGAATGGTGCCCAGGCAGAAGCGGGAGGGGCTGCCTCAAACTCTCATGCTGAGGCTGAACTGAAAGTTGAGCTGTGCGCGAAAAGAGGAACCATGCCATAAACAACCCCCAGGCCCCCTCGGAGACACCAACCATCCCCCCCAGGGCCTGGCCGAGAGACGTGGCCAGGCCCCCTCGGAGACACCAACCATCCTCCCCCGGGGCCCGGCCGAGAGACGTGGCCAGGCCCCCTCGGAGACACCAACCATCCCCCCCCGGGGCCCGGCCGAGAGACGTGGCCAGGCCCCCTCGGAGACACCAACCAGCCCCCCCGGGGCCCGGCCGAGAGACGTGGCCAGGCCCCCTCGGAGACACCAACCATCCTGCCCGGGGCCCGGCCGAGAGACGTGGCCAGGCCCCCTCGGAGACACCAACCATCCCCCCCGGGGCCCGGCCGAGAGCGTGGCCAGACCCCCTCGGAGACACCAACCATCCCCCCAGGGCCCGGCCGAGAGCGTGGCCAGGCCCCCTCGGAGACACCAACCATCCCCCCAGGGCCCGGCCGAGAGACGTGGCCAGGCCCCCTCGGAGACACCAGCCATCCCCCCCAGGGCCCGGCCGAGAGACGTGGCCAGGCCCCCTCGGAGACACCAGCCATCCTCCCCCGGGCCCGGCCGAGAGACGTGGCCAGGCCCCCTCGGAGACACCAGCCATCCCCCCTGGGGCCCGGCCGAGAGACGTGGCCAGGCCCCCTCGGAGACACCAGCCATCCCCCCCGGGGCCCGGCCGAGAGACGTGGCCAGGCCCCCTCGGAGACACCAACCATCCCCCCCGGGGCCCGGCCGAGAGACGTGGCCAGGCCCCCTCGGAGACACCAACCATCCCCCCCGGGGCCCGGCCGAGAGACGTGGCCAGGCCCCCTCGGAGACACCAACCATCCCCCCCGGGGCCCAGCCAAGCCCATCCCAATAGCTGCCCAGGGGCCCAGTGCAGCCCCACCAGAGCCAATGGGGCAGGGGGATTCTGGGGTGAGAAGGCTCCATGGCAGTTGGGCTCCAACGGTCACCCCATAGAATGCTGGGCCCTGTAAGCCCCGCCCCATTGGTGCAGGAGGAATCTAATTGGTGGGGAGGCCAACACAGGATCCTGCTCCTCCAATAAGGCCTCAAGGAGGGAAGGCTCTAAGCTGAGGGCAATTTTAAATGGGGTGTCTCCTGAGGAGAAAGAGGAGGAACCCCCGGAGGGATGGGCGAGCAGACAGGGTCCCCCTGCCCAGAGGGGTGGGAGAATGGACAGGGATACCCCCCACCCATAGGGGTGAGAGAGCAGACAGGAGCCCCTCACTCAGAGGGGCGAGAGAGCAGATAGGGTCCCCCCCACCCAGAAGGGCAGAGAGCGGACGCGGCCCTGTTGCCCACACACACTTGCAGCATCGCCAACCCCAAAGGTTCAAAAATCACAAGCCAGACCCAAAAATCATGAGACGTTTTAAGGATGAAGTGGTTGTTTCGTTCGGTCTCTTAACTGGGGACTCCCCCTTCCCCAGTGTGTGGGTGGCAAGTGTATAGAGCGAGGTGACTTGGGCTGTCCTCTCCCAGCGGCTTGATCCCAAACAATTGTTACACCCATGTGCTTGTTATTCAAGGAAGCTCACTCCTGCAGAACTAGACTGGAACTCCTGGCGACACAAACCACCTTTGCAGAATGGCAGCACTACCTGGAAGGAGCTCGCAACCCAGTCCAGTTATTCGCTGATCATAAAAAACTGGAATACCTATGTAGGGAAAAAGCCTTTGATCAATGGCAGCTTCAGTGGGCCCTGTTCTTCTGATGATTCGATTTCATTATCACATTCCGCCCTGGATCCAAAAATGGCAAGGCCGACGCCCTGCTCCGAAGACACATTATCAACTCATGAGGCCTCAGCCAGGAACAACCCACATTCTCCAATCCCATAACTTTCTCAGTGCCACTCGTCACCAGGATTTTCTCAGACTGATACACTCAGCCTCCGCCTCAGGAATTCCACCTGATGAGCAAGCTATTATCCACAAGCAACCACATGACTCCCAGGAAGGGTTCACATACGTGAGGGACCGCGTCTCTGTTCACCCTGGACCCACAAGAGTTGCAGTCTTGCATCTTTGCCATGATTTGCCCCTAGCAGGACTGCTTCAAGACCCAACGAATAATATCCTGCTCCTTTTGGTGGCCCCGGATGCGATCGATGATGCAGTCATTCATTGCCTCCTGTGATGTTTGTGCCTGCACCAAGACACCACGCCACAAGTCCTGTGGTCTCCTCCAGCCCTTGGACACCCCATCTTGACCTGGGGGACCATCACATAGACCAGGGGTCCCCAACGCGGTGCCCATGGGCGCAATGGCGCCCGCCGGGGCAGTCATGTGCGCCCCATGACACCGCGCCGCTGAAATGCCGCCGAGACGTGTTGCCGTTTCTCGGCGGCAGTTGGGCAGCGACACTTCTTGTTGCTGCCGCGTCTCGGTGGCATGGTGTGTGGCGCCCACCACAGTCATCTGGGAATAGGAATATGCTATTCCCACAAAAAGGTTGGGGACCACTGATATAGACCTTAGTCTAGTGTAGGATTACCAGCGTCCAACACATTTACAACAGTTTTCCTAGTAGCGGACCACTGTACAAAATGGCCTACTTCATCCCTTGCACAGGCCTCCCCTCAGCTGAAGAGATAGCCCTGCTATGGATAAGCTATACAGACCAGCTCCACAGCCTTCCGGAATGCATCACCTCCAATCAAGGGTCTCAGGTCACAGCCTGGTTCTGCTGGGGGTCGGCACGTCTTTCCTCTGCTTGCCATCGCCAGTCCAAAAGCCAGACGGAGAGGGCCAACAAAATTCTTG